TAGGGTTTCCGGCGGCGGCGGCGGCGGGGGGGGGGGAGGGGGTCGCGGTTGTACAGCGGGGAGAGCAGGGTGCCGGTGTGCGCGTCCATGGGCGGCGCCGGCGCCTGCGCGCGGGGCGTAGGAGGAGGAAAGAAGAGAGTGCGGCGCGAGCGGTCGAGTGTGCCGCGCGCTGTAGCAGGCGCCCGAAATACGCCGCACGGGATGGTGTTTCCGACAGTGCGCCCAACTCGGTATAGCGCACGCGCTGTTATTGCGCGCCCGCTGGAGCGACCCGCCGCGTTGCGCGCGCGCTAAAACCGATGAATTTGCGGCGCGGCGCTAGTTTAGCGCGGCTGTTGGAGATGCTCTGAGCTAGCTAACTCCGGTTGCGTCCGTGCGTGAGCTAGCTAGCTCCAGCTGGACGTGCTTAGTGGGATGGTTTGCATTGCACAAAAGAAGAAAGGAAATGTAAAACCGTATAAAGCAAACAATGACAGAAAATTGCACATGATTAGCATAGGAATTGCATTGTTTCATAATATGTAAAAACAAGCATATAGTAGTGTAACTTTTACACAGCGGTAAGAATCGCACACATTGCATAAAAATTGAGTGAGTATATACCATATTATGTGGGTTATTATCCGATTTTTTTGAGAAATGGGTTATTATAGGCGCCTATTTTTTTGGGCATTCAGTCAAATCGTCTCTACCATTGTCCACCACCAGATGCAGATCAAAAGGCCCGGTCTTATTCTTCCCCTTTTAGCCTTTGTTCTTTCCCTTATATTATACTAATACTAAGAAAATAGAACAAAAAAATGAACTTATCTAGGGAAGAATGAACTAGTGGCATGGTATAACCCTTTTAGAAAAAAAAATGAAAAAAAATAAAACAAGCAATGACAAAATTTACACACAAAAAATTGCTCTATTTTATAATATTCAAGAATAAGCATATAATGATGATTTTTCTCACCAAAAGAAGTTCGGTAAGAAGGAATACATTAATGACATTGGTAGTATGCTTAAAGAAGAAAGAAAATGAAACAAAAGCAAAATAGTCAAAATAATAATATATGAAGTGTTGGGGATATAACTATTAGGTATGACCCGCCCAGGAGGGGCCGGGTTATACCTATGGCGATTCATCATATGAAGCCCACGAGGACATTGAAGATGGCGGTTCAAGATAAGGGCCCAAGGCCCAAGGGCGACTTAAGGCCCGTAGAAATAAACTGCCTTATGTATAAGACTTGTATTGTAAGGCATGAATAGATAGTCATCGAACTGGACACGTTATTTATGAGCCGTCTGGGACTCCGAAAGCCTCTGGGCGTCAATATGTGTATATAAAAGGACGACCCGACGGTGGTTCAGGGCAAGAAACAATAGATCGAAAGCTAGGTCAAGCAGATTCGCTCCCTAGTAATCGAGACATAAGTAATACCACCTCGAAACTGGAGTAGGCCTTTACCTTCACCGCAAGGGGCCGAACCAGTATAAACTCATGTGTCCTTTGTCTCGTTTAACCCCTTTAAGCTAACCTAGTTGTAGGATCTTGAAGTATGTCTAGAGGGGGGGGGTGATTAGACTACTTGACCAATTAAAAACTTAACCTTTTCCCAATTTTAGTCTTTGGCAGATTTTAGCTATCTTAGCACAAGTCAAGCAATCTTCACACAATTCAAACAAACATGCAAAGAGTATATGAGCAGCGGAAAGTAAAGCATGCAACTTGCAAGAATGTAAAGGGAAGGGTTTGGAGATTTCAAACGCAATTTGGAGACACGGTGATTTTTGAGCCGTGGTTCCGATAGGTGGTGCTATCATACATCCACGTTGATGGAGACTTCAACCCACGAAAGGTAACGGTTGCGCGAGTCCACGGAGGGCTCCACCCACGAAGGGTCCACGAAAAAGCAACCTTGTCTATCCCACCATGGCCGTCGCCCACGAAGGACTTGCCTCACTAGCGGTAGATCTTCATGAAGTAGGCGATCTCCTTGCCCTTACAAACTCCTTGGTTCAACTCCACAATCTTGTCGGAGGCTCCCAAGTGACACCTAGCCAATCTAGGAGACACCACTCTCCAAGAAGTAACAAATTGTGTGTTGATGATGAACTCCTTGCTCTTGTGCTTCAAATGATAGTCTCCCGAACACTCAACTCTCTCTCATAGGATTTGGATTTGGTGGAAAGAAGATTTGAGTGGAAAGCAACTTGGGGAAGGCTAGAGATCAAGATTCATATGGTAGGAATGGAATATCTTGGCCTCAACACATGAGTAGGTGGTTCTCTCTCAGAAATGGTAAGTTAGAAGTGTAGGTTTGTTCTGATGGCTCTCTCCACGAATGAAGAGGAGGTGGAGTGGTATATATAGCCTCCACACAAATCTAACCGTTACACACAATTTACCAATCTCGGTGGGACCGAATCAACAAACTTGGTTAGACCGATATAGTAAACCTAGTGACCGTTAGTGATTTCGGTGGGACTGACATGCTACTCGGTAGGACCGATGTGGTTAGGGTTAGGGCATAACATAATCTCGGTGAGACCGATTACACAAACTCGGTGAGACCGATTTTGGTAATAAGCTAACCAGAGAGTTGGCCAGGTAAACTCGGTGGGACCGATTCGCTCTTTTCGGTGGGACCGTAATGTTACGAAAGGGAAACTGAGAGTTTACATTGCAATCTCGGTGGGACCGATCGCTCACTTCGGTTAGACCGAAACGTTATGAAGGGAAACAGAGAGATTACAATCCCATCTCGGTGAGACCGAGATCCCTATCGGTGAGACCGATTTGCCTAGGGTTTGTGGATGTGGCTATGACATCTGAACTCGGTGGCGCCGGATAGAAAGAATCAGTGGGGCCGAGTTTGACTTTAGGTTTAGGTCATATGTGGATATGAGAAAGTAGTTGACGGTTTTGGAGCATATCACTAAGCACTTGAAGCAAGAAATTCATTAAGCAACACCTCATCCCTCCTTGATAGTATTGGCTTTTCCTATAGACTCAATGTGATCTTGGATCACTAAAATATAAAATGTAGAGTCTTGAGCTTTTGAGCTTGAGCAATCCTTTTATCCTTAGTATTTTGAGGGATCCACTTTCCTCATCCATGCCATGCCATTCATTGAGCTTTCCTGAAATATTTATCTTGGAATGATGTTAGCTCAATGAGCTATATGTTGTTAGGAATTACCAAAACCACCTAGGGATAGTTGCACTTTCAATCTCCCCTTTTTTGGTAACTGATGACAACATATAGATCAAAGCTTTGACAAATGATAATAAGATTGAAAAACATCGTCGCTTTGAGAAGTATGTGATAAGCAAGAGCTCCCCCTAAATTTGTGCATAGTTTATGATTTGCTTTGGACTGCAAATGCACAAGGAGTTAGGCTCATGGGTTACTCTTCCATGTCACATACATCTTGGTGGAGCACTCAAAATAATAAAGATTGAATACATGCACTCATCACCAAGCAAAGTGAATGATCATATAAAGATAAATAAGATACTGTCATCTAACAAGCATTAAGGTAGCACATGATCAAACACATGATCATCATTGTATCACATAGACAATAACGTAGTATCTCAAGCAAGCAAAAGCAAATAAAGTTCAACCACAAAGACAAGAGAGAACAGAAGCAAACTCTCTCTCTCTCTCTCTCGAAGCCTATGATCTATACATTACGGTACGAACTTTTATGCAACGGTTGGGTTCGGCATTTTTAGAAGAATTTTTTATGGAAGAAGAGCAAGTTTTTTCTTTGATGTTCACCAAAACAACTCTTTTTTCTTTCTGTGGATCACACACTGAGCGTATTTGGTATTTGGATATTATACGTATCAATGACCTGTTTTCTCCCCCTTTGGCAACAAGTTACCAAAAAGTTCCTAGAAAATGCATAGTACTATTTCGTCTCTCAGGCTTGGTCTTCGGGTGGTGGTGTAGAGATGTCTCCTTGGACCAAGACTTTAGTTGATGTGGATGGAGCTGAAGGAGTTGGTGCTGGAGCTAGTTGCACTGGAGCTGTAGCTGATGCAGATGAAGTGGCTTTGGTGTCTGTCATTGGCTCTGCAACTAATCTTTGAGCTTGAGGCACTCTGGCAAATGCATTAGTGGTTGTCCCTCCCTTCCTCTCCTGCATATCATCCTGA